CATGGCAACATTTTGGCAGGATTTCACACAGGAAAGTGACAACGTATTTACAGGGCAGAAAAGGAGGAATGTCACAAATTACACAATGTTGGAGGGGTTACCATGGTTACCAGATAGACAGCATCAGGTGCTGATATTTGCTGATTCTAGATAAAACCTATTAGGACAGGCCATTGTCTTCACTTCTACAATACACCGAAAACTGGGCAGCAAAGTATACAAGATCTGTGTGCTCAGTAGATTTCAGACAGAAAGTTGATAATATTTGTCTTTGAACAGATTTGATTATTACAACTCAATATCAAATTGTCTTTAACGAACAGATGTTAACAGAGTAGAAACAATTTATGGATAACAACTGCTTGACAATGGTATAAGGTTCTATACCGAAATGTTGCCTTTACAGTATTAAAAAAGTTGTTATCCATAAAAAGTGTCTACTTTGTTATCCGTCAACATCCAAGTAATCCCTATCATACAACTCAGAGGCTAACAGTTCCATAACGACAATGTCAGCTTAATGTGGGAGGAAAGTAAAAAAGGTCCAGGCATGGACGCTTACCACATGGATATGTTGCAGACAAAGGATCCTTATCAGGCAGATCCTGGTATCAGTAAGGGATGTAACTCTGCACACCTAATTGCAGAGCCTAAGATCAATGGGCCATCCATTTCTCTCAATAATTATGTTACATATACAGACTGATGATGATGACTGAGTTAGTGGGTATGGTTTTACGCCGCTTTTAGCAATATTCCAGCAATATCACGACAGGGGACACCAGAAATGGGCTTCACACATTGAACCCATGTCGGGAATCGAACCCGGGTCTTCGGCATGACGAGGATACTTTAACCACTAGGCCACCCCATCGCACAGATGATGACTGAGACACACGAGCGGAAGCACCTGCTGCCCCGGATGAGATCTGGCTACATGCCCACTGTGGCGTGGGGGACACAGGTCACATGAGATGCTGCAGGGAAGCATGTATCATCAGATGCACCCTTTACATGACTCTGGAACTACATGCTTATTATAATCCAATACATGCGGGAGCAGCTGAAAATTTGACGTCTGATAAAAATCTTACTTCAAATTCAAGCAGAAATAACAGCTCATATAATCCTACTAACTCTGAATGTGTGGTGTGGTGTGGTGTGGTGTGGTGTGGTGTGGTGTGGTGTGGTGTGGTGTGGTGTGGTGTGTGATGTGTGTGGTGTGGTGTGGAATGTGATGCGTAGGTGTGGTGGAGTGTAATGTGGTTGTGTGTGTGTGTGTGTGTGTGTGTGATGTGGAGAGCGTTGTGTATGCATGTGGTGCATGTGCATGTGCATGTGGTGTACAGTGTGTGCACGTTTTGTGAATATCTCCAAATTTAAGGCATTACATCTTTTATCGTACATCATACTTGCAAACTGCTCCCTAACTCTGACTAGAATCTGACATTATTACTCTATTATGATTGCATTGCATTTATAAATCATTGGCCAGGATATTACATATCCAAATATACATAAATAAATAATAGAAATCATGTTTCAATGTGAAAAGAAGCCAACGTTGTTGGTTGGATATACAGATATTGTTTTACAACTGACAAAGAACAGACATGTCACTATTTGTGGCCTGCAACAGTGAGTGAGTGAGTATGGTTTTACATGGCTTTCAGCAATATTCCATTAATATCAGAGCGGGGGACAGCAGAAATGGGCTACACACATTGTACCTATGTGGGGCATCAAACCCGGGTCTTCGATGTGATCAGCGAATGCTTTAACCACTAGGCTATCCCGGCTTTCAACAGAATAAAGAAATGCAATATCATTCGTATCAACACTTCTGAAGTCAAACGATTGTAATATTTGCACAAAGTGTCGAAGTCTTGATGTCAATGGTATTATTTATACCGTATTCGCCGTACTAAGCACCCTGCTTGTAAACCAATATGTAAGTTTAGTCTATATGAGCGTCCACTACAAAGTCCAAACATGTACAAGTTGTCTATATATTTCTTGTGTATATTACAAATATTATAAAAAAACAGCAGCACAGAAGTGGTATTTTCTTGCCAGGCAACTATTATCAAAAATGATTTAGTGTCATTGACATTTGAACTAAGGTTGTTCACTGCTGTTCAATCCCTGACAATAAATTAACTTGTGTTTTTATGAACTGGCCCCTTTTAAGCACCCAGGGCTCTTATTACAGCGAATACGGTAGGCCTGACATGCTACACCAAAGTCACAATGTGTTCAAGATATGATACATGTAATACGTTTTTCAGAGAAAACGTAGATGGGTATTACCTAATTCTGAGAGGAACAGAGGAAAGCAAACCTCAATTGCCAAATAATGTTATTTTGAAACAATAGCACTCGTGAGTGTGGTTTAACGCCGCCTTTAGCAATATTCCAGCAATATCATGGCGAGGGACATCTTAAATGGGCTTCACGTATCATACCCATGTGGGGATTCAAACAGGCTTTGGCATGATGAGCAAACGCTTTAGCCACAAGGCTACCCCGCCGACCCACAATTGCACAAATGTACAATGAATAATGGGCTTCTCATGCTAATGCCTAAATGTCAATCAATACCAGACTGTGGACCATTTGACAACCCTTTGTTGAATGATATGTACCACGGACTTGGTTATATAGGTCTGTGTATGTACTAAGATAGTGTGAAGCATCTCTATATCATGTTGTTTAATATCACAGTACATCAGTGTGATGTTTCTGTCTTAGCAACTCACAATAATATATCATAAGATTCATTTCAACAGACAGTCAACACAAACAATGAAATATATCATACAACTTAGGTCATGTGGTCTCTTTCAATGAATTGATATGTCATGAAAATATCCATAGAAATGCAAGGTCATATCAAAACTAATCTGACAGCATAGCCTTAATATTTTCACAACCAATAATGTAAAATAAATTGTCACAACCATTCAATATCCTATTATCATCATAATTATATGAATAGTGACAGAGAATTAGTCATTTCATCAAAACCATTTCTACTGATTATATTATGAAGCACCCTGTTGAACCCAAGAGACTTGTAATCTTTGATCAACCTTGGTATACTGCTTGGGTAGAAGACTAACATGGGACTACTGAAGGTAATACAAGCATCAAAAACAGCACCAAAAATCACTTAACAAATTTACTGGTTTCTGTTAATTAACTTTTCATCATTTGAACAAGAAATAAGGCTGAAACTGCCTGACACCAGTTAACAAGAGGCATCAAGAGGAGTGTCTTGTGGTCTGCCTGCTTTAAAGTCAAACAAATTCAAACACATTTTAATCTTATTTTTTTTACTGAATTTTTATTTTTGGATAAAAAACAACCTGCCTGCTTAAGGTTTTATAAAACTGAGATTTTTAATACTTTTTTATATCAAATTTCAATTAAAAAATATGTTTTTTAAAATCTGAATTTCTTAAAACCATAAACATGATAAAGAGGCAGATCTGTGGTTCAAATAATCAGAAAAGGTTGGCAGAGTTCGAAAATAAGTACTGTAGTCAAGAGGTCCTTGTTATAACCTTAATGTTAAAAGTTACAGAACTAGAGGGTCCGTAGATTCAAATACCGTAGAAGACGTCTAGGACCAGCCTTAACTTCCTACACTGGCTGGTGTCACCATGAAGGCAAAGCATGACATAGCTATACACAGTACATTTAGCAACTTCCCTACCAGGAAAGTGGATTCCGGGTGTTCTAATGAGTAAACATTTTGGCTGAAATGATTTTGTAGAACAGTTTTCCATTGTGAAACACAATTGCTGATACACTGATAACCATGCATCTGTATAGATGGTCAAAAGATCCTGGGAATGTGAGAACTGAGGCCACAACCGTCACTGGCTGGCAGGTAAGGGAAGCAACTCTGTGTTGCCTACTAAGCTAACCCTGGCACCACCTTGTGTGTAATCTGATGCAGACTACGTTGTTCATGCTAGTGTTTTTATGAAACTGCTTTTAATTTTAATTTCAATCTGTCATCATTGGTGCAACATGGCAAACAGAGAGAAATAATTGATTGTGAATTTGTGTCATATAATAGTCATGAGTTCTGAAAATAACATCAAAGATAATTGTCATTGTGGGAAATCTTTAAAAAAAAATCAGTGTAGTCAAAATGACATCCATTTCATTTTCTGTAAATAATAGATTGCTGACACACATGCTAGTCTTAAAAAAATCAAAGTTGATAACAGTATTCTATAAGCGAGATATCATCCAGTGTGAGTGAGTGAGTAGGGTATTACGCTACTTTCAGCAATATTCCAGCAATATAATGGAGGAGGCCACGAGAAATGGGCTTCACACATTGCACCTAGTGTGGAACTGAACCCATCTGTTAGGATTCTGTACAATAAAAGATTCACCAGTATGACAGTATTGCAATGAATATAACATCTGGAATTCTGACCTATGCTCAGTAACGCTACAGAACACACCTGTAAACCTCAAGTATGGGTGTGCATCTCCTGGAGATGTGTAACTGTCGTGCAGAGGGTTACTGTCATCCAGGATGTCCTTGTCACCTGTTACCATGGTTACGTCATCAACCGGACATCCTTGAAACTTTAACAACATAATGTCCATACCTTTAAAACATCCGTGTGTAATCATCTTCCTGAGGCAAGGGAGTTAACTGACCATAAAAATCCAGTTCCCATGTTTGCCGAACTATGCTGGAATTATGGAGTTACATTTTGGCTGGACAAATGAGTCTATGCATAGTCTAATCAAAATCGTGTAACGAACTAGACATCTGGTTCATAAACAACATGGACTTTAACATGCAGATTTCGATCGACTTAAGGGTTAAAAACCATGTCTACCGTCAACTGGGCGTCGACAGATATTTTCCAAATCTTTTCATATCTTTGATCAAGGTGCTTAAGTGATTTGATGCACTTCGCAGGGTAAGACCCCTTTTATGACAATATAGATCTTGATCATGATCAGATCGTTTTGACTGGGCACCATTTTGTTTAAAGCAAATGCAAGCGAAAGAGAGATGGAATCTGATTGGTCCATAGGAGGGACGTAGAAGGGACATAACTCTTAACAGCCACTGGTGGCGCTACTATCAAGCCTGGAAATTCAGGCCTCGTTTGGCAAGGGTGGAAACTGGTCTTTCATAGTCGGTTAACGCCATTGACCTGTGAAGATGAAATGTAATCTGTAGTGAACATCCCTGTGAATCTGTATGTTGGTACTACCCGATTCTCTCCATCCAACTCAGTCCCTATAAACATTTCATTCAATGTGGCCCCTTTGGATTTTACACTTGCACAGTAAAACAAATGCAAGTTTTGACATTGGCGGTCTGTTGCAAAAGCACTACTATTCCATGACATAAACTTGTGTTTGATTGTTTGTTAGTTGGATGCTTCAGATCAATCTTCGACCAATCGCCACTCTTGCTACCATCCAATCAGAGATCACTACACATGTGTAGGGAACTGCATCTTCACCCTATGACTCACTGTAAACACAGGATGGTAACAGTCTTTGAAAGCCTCGTCCTCTATTATCCTCTTTCCGACTAGAGTGTCTCCCCACACCGCACTGGTCAGGGTATACGTGAAAATCAAGCGTGCACTTTGATCAGTGATAGCGGAGACTGTAACAGACATAGGGAGAGTGTCCAACGGCATCAACGTTTCCATTTTCCCATTGTGAGAAAAATGTAAATTCCCATTTGAACAAACAACTGCATAAGACCTTTTACTCATGCCTACTTGATCCTTGTAGTTTAGCACTTCTGAAGATATTCCTACTCCGAATAAATAGCCCGTCTTTATATCTCGTATCTGGTTTGTGTTTTTCTCAATTGTAATTGTCCACAGTGAATTTTCTTCCAGTTTTTCGGCTGTGAAGGTGGTGGAGTTGAAGCCCCATGTTATTAGGCTTTTGTTTTGTACTCGAGGGGCGTCACTCTTGCCAGGGGAGGCAACTGACCGGATTGTTGGCACAAGGCTCACACACTTCTCGCTGTCGTCACCTGAAATACACAAATATAATCGCCATGACAACCAGTTCAGAATTTTGTCTTCATCAGGCCATACTGAAGTCTCTCCTCTGGCCTTTATTATGCAGCAGCAGGAAGATGTTGCTCAGGGTTTCTTCTTCGATATTAAGCTAATTAAGTGAGTGAGTGAGTTGGGTTTAACGCCGCTTTTAACAGTATTGCAGTTATATCACGGCGTGTCAGCTTAATGTGGGAGGAAAGCCCCAAGTGATGCAGGTCACAGACGTTTACCACTTCGGTGAAACCCACGAGCACGGGTATGGTGCTGACAAACCTAGAAACATAATCGGGGCGAACCGGGATTCGAACCCACAATCATAGGTTTCTGGCGTGTCCAAGGGACGCAACTCTGCACAGCGAATCGCGGCGCCTTAGACGACTGGGCCACCTGTGCCCCCTAAGCTAATTAAGAGCCCATGACATTCAAATTTGGAAAAAAAAAAAAAAAAAACCCCAAAAAAACAAAAAAAACCCCAAAAAAACAACAACAAAAAACAAACACCCTCGTGTCCAAATTTGGATTTTTACATTATGTTATCTTCTTAAATTTGGGACCCATGAAGACCCAGGGTGGAATAGGTCTTCAGCAACCCATGCTTGCCTTAAAGGCGACTATGCTTGTCGTAAGAGGCGACTAACGGGATCGGGTGGTCAGGCTCGCTGACTTGGTTGATGCATGTTATTGTATCCAAATTGCGTGGATCGATGCTCATGGTGTCAGTCACTGGATTGTCTGGTCCAGACTCGATTATTTACAGACTGCCGCCACATAGCTGGAATATTGCTGAGTGCAGCGTTAAACAACAAAGCTACCAACCAACCATCTTAAATTTGGAGGTAATTTTGCAGGCAATAATCTGAAACTAAATACTGAAACCTGTTTCTTTTCATTTGTATTTTAATCAGTCACCCTTGAAAAGGGAAATTAAAAAAAAGCTTAAGGTACAGTTATAATTACCCGAAAATAGCAAGATCAGACAATTGTAAAGTTGCTGTAATAACCGGCCTAATACCAGCTTCTCAGAACACCTAGACAAATGTCTAGTATATTTCAAGTAAAGATTGTCTAGCCACCTTGCCAAACAGAATCAGGTCAAATACAATGACATGTTACTCCTCTACTGACTGCAGTCCAGTGTATGTTGTTACCCTGAAAATTTTGAACAGTACTCCAGTTATATCATGGTGTGTCAGCTTGATGTGGGAGGAAAAGTCACGCAGGTCTCAGACGGTCACCACTCTATCAAACCCACGGGCACACGTTTGGTGATGAAAAACCTCGAAACATACTATGATAGGTTACTGGTGTGTTTGAGGGAGGCAACTCTGAACAGCGAAATATTGCGTTTTACCCATCGACCCACCCACCGCTCCACCGCCCACCACACACACCCTAAAGTGCCATAGAGTTAGTGTACCTGTAAAACACTTGAGGCTGTCGAAGGCCAGCGATCGGAACCTGAGCACTGAGGTGCGGATGTCCTGCTGGGCAGACTGATGGGTAATCAGACTCTTGAAGGACGCATCACGACTCTGCGTACTGAAACAAGAAAATGAAACGTGCTGACAAAGAATGAACATTGCAGCTCTTTCAAAACTGATTGAACCTTTACTTCAGAAGCCACATAATGCTTGGATCCACACCTAGGTATTGGTCGTGATTGCCTAATGTACATGACATAAGAAAAGCATAAACAGAGGGATGGTACATAGAGATTAATATGTATGTCTTATTGTTTTCACGAAATAAGCATCAGAAAAACAATATTTCCTGAGCAAGAATCCCCAATGCCCAAACATAGCAACTCACTCTTTGGACAACTGGTCCACCTTGGTGACGATAGGACTGACATCCTTGGCCTTCTGGAGGAGCTCCTTGGTATGTTCCTCATCAAGGAGTTTCTTGCAGGCTTCTGCCAGGCTCTCCATGGACTTGACTAGCGCCTTGTTGGCGTCGCACTGGGAGTGGTACTGCAGTGAGGCCTGCGACTGCTGCCTCCCGATGCTGGCCAGGACAACCTCCTTCTGGAGGTCCAGGGCCTGCGTGACTTCTTGCAGCAGACGGCGATGCTGCCTCTCGATCTTCTCTCTCGCGAGTTTATGGAGGAGCTATGTTGGGGAGAAAGAGGCAGAAATAATTCGCACATTCTCAGCAATGTTTCATTTCTGAGTGAGTTGGGAAAACAGTATTTCTGTTTTGTCACAGCCTTTAACCTAATTGTGAAAAGATCAAATTGGGACCATTCACTACTTTTCCCTCAATCTGAAACTTGTGATTCATCCTGACATCAATTTAGATAAGAGCAGAAATCTCAGTTGAAAATTAGTCCTTAAAAATATATATGGTACTTATTCAAGTTTTAAAATCCTTGAAAATGTCCTGATACCATTGGTCTCATGCAAGAATTGACCATACCTCTATTTCATCTGTGACTTCGTCCAGTCGAGTATTCTGCTCTGTCAAGTTGGTCATCATGGACTCCAGTCTCTCTTTGGAATGTACAACAGATTCCTGAAAAAAACAACAATTGGGATGAGCTCCAAAGATGCCTCAAACAAATGCACCCCTGTGGTGCCATTCTATGGTGCTGTCGCGTATCACCATGGTGTACATCAAGGGCTTGGTTCACTCCTTGTACAGGAGATGTGTTGCAGTAAGCGGTGGCCTAAGGTACAAACTTTGCAAGTACTGCTAATATTCTAATCACCTGCACAATGTCTTCATTTTCCCATGTTCAGATACTGATTGGCTGAATGATGTTTTACGTAATGTTCAAGTGTTTAAATAAACACAATGTACATGATTTAGGTTTTAGACCTTCCTGCTTTTGTAAGATGGCATTCCTGCCCATTTCTTTCACAGGTAATTGTTACTGAACACATGAGTATTCAAATCAATCTGGCACTCATGACATCAGGTTAGATGCTCCGAAAAAACAAACAGGTTTCATTTTCATGGAACAATTCAGTTAGGACTAGAGGCAACTATTCCCTATTGCAACTGTATTGCGATGGTATTAAACCAACTTAAAGGATTGATAATTATATTAACTAATGTAACAGAAATGAATCAAGTATGATGCCAGATTCGCTGCGACCTACGATATCATTGATACTAAGGTACATCTGATACTTGATTCATCAGTTTGTGTGAGAGTGATATGCAGAAATAGAACAGAAACTGATAGATTTATCTCTCGTAATGGCAGAAGTAATGTAGCACAACTTGTAAGCATGGTGGAACACGAGGCCGTAGTGAGGACGTGCCGGCTATGAAACTTTAACATTTAATAACCATCCCTTCATTTAAAACTGTTTTATTCTAATTGTTTTGTTAACACATTTTAGTTTTTTGAGATAATAAGTAAATGTTGAATCCAGAGGTTTTAGAGTCATATTTAAGTGATTTCATATTTTTTTCCTATTTGGTGGTGTATCGTGATATGAGTGGTATGGTCAGTCTGTATCAAGATACGTATTGTATCTCAAGGTACAAGGCAATACTCAGCTCTCATGTCAAATGATGTCGAGAATGTCAAAGTCTGCCATTTTTCTCCTTGTCGTAACACACTCACTCACTCCCAAGCTCCTTCCCAGAGCGTGACGCCTTCGTTACACTCTCAGTAACATCGCTGCCATCAGTGTGGGTGCGGCAATAACAACAATCTTGAAATTTGCCTTCTAATCCCAAATGTAGTGATGTGCATATACTTTTGTTTATGTCTTTGGGAATACTTCCATAATGAATTTTGAAACGGTTTATGACTAATCAGTTTTCCCAGATGAATCTATCTTTTTGCTTGTGCAATAAGAAACTTAGGAAACTGGTTAACCTTTTGGTGAACACCGTATTGAGGGATTAATGCGTTTTTCTCTATAAAATAGAAAAGTGGCAACTCACCCTGAGATGCTTCCAGGCGGCATCGAGCGCCAGGATCTTGTGACCTGAATGTTTGCCTACTCCCTCACACACACACAGGTGGCACACCAGCACCTTACACGTATCACAGAATATACTGGTCGTCTCCGAGTCATGGTCGCGACAGAACACCGGTTTCTCCTCAACCTCCACCTTGGAAGGTTTCCGCACCCGATGGTGTGTCAAAGGTCCTCTTTTTGGGTGATACGTCTGGAGACACTTTTGACAATACAACACAGAACACTGTTGACAGAACCAGGTGGCTTTGGCCGGGGATTTGGAATCACAAAGTCCGCAATCCTTGCTCATGTACTCTGGGAACACCGGAACATCACAGTCATCAGAGGAGGTGTTGAGTTGAAAGCTTGTTCCAAGGTCGAGGCTCTTGCTCTTCGTGAGGTTCGAGCTCTGTATTTCCTGGAACCGGAATACAATGTTCTCGAGAGCCAGGTTCTTTGGCAGACTCACTAACTTCTCGTTGGCCACAGCCATTGATTTGCGACAAGACGGACACTCGACATCTGCAGCAGGATAAGAAAAATATTCAACTGAGATCATGAGGACCAAAGTTACAAAATATTTGCGCACTAACATTCCTGAAAAAGAAATCTATGTAACTTGTCATTATGAAGGTTTGTCCTTCAGTCTCTGAAATTGTTTAAAGGCGGGGGCACGGGTGGCCCAGTTGTCTAAGGCAGAGTTGCGTCCCTTGGGCATGCCAGAAACCTATGATTGTGGGTTTGAATCCCGGTTCGCCCCGATTATGTTTCTAGGTTTGACAGCACCATACCCGTGCTCGTGGGTTTCACTGAAGTGGTAAACGTCTTAGACCTGCATCACTTCGGGCTTTCCTCCCACATTAAGCTGACACGCCGTGATATAACTGGAATACTGTTAAAAGCAGCGTTAAACCCAACTCACTCACTGTTTGATAGGCATTACTTAGAAGTTGACGGATGACAAAGGTGGACACAATTTTATGGATAACATCTTCTTAACACTATAAAAAGCAACGTTTCAGTATAAATCCTTATACCGTGACAATGGTATAAGGATCTATACCGAAACGTCGCTTTTTACAGTATTAAGAAGTTGTTATCCATAAAATTGTGTCCACCTTTGTCTTCAGTGTCTGAGTTAAAAAAACCATTGAGCTTGCATAATCTTGCTATTACTTCAATTGGCCACACATGCACCTTAAAGTTGGCCACACATGCCTCTTTCCTTTGGCAAAACATGCACCTTCCTGAAGCATATAGATTTTATATAGAAATAAGTCTGTACATCCTCTATTAACCGATATCCTGAAGCATGTAAGCTGAATGTCTCACCCTCCTTGCCCAGCTTGAGTCTGTTGTCGAGGATGTCCTGGAGACACTTCTTACAGATGCTGTGGGAGCAGGGCAGCATGAGGGGGTCAGCAAACAGCTCCAGACACACCGGGCAGGTCAGCTCATCCTCCATCATGTCATAGGTCAAGTCTGGAAAACAACACCGCCTGGTTAGTACACTGTCTCGGACAGAACACCTTGCCTGTCTTGTCTGTACAGACACCTGCACACCCTCATGGGACCTCCTGTACATCTTCACCCTGTACACTGTGAATAGAGGGGGAGAATGCTTTCAGCAGGATTCCATAAAAGCAGCTTCAAAGGCTGCACCCTTATTGGCACTTAACATCAGATATTCAACACCATTATTACAAATATGATAGTGAGTGAGTGAAGTTTGCTTATTGCTGCAGTTGGCAATATTCAAGCTACGACATGATGGCCAAAAAATAAATCACGCCTGGACCAGAAAATCAAGTGATTAATATAATGAGCAATGACCATAAACCAAGTCAACCAGATAATCAGAATTATCGTCGATCGGAAGAAATATTAACGACTATCGATATGGAAATTGTGTTATCGATAATATTTTACATCCTGGTGTCAACTACACCTGTAGCAGACAAACAACACATTTCATACCTGCTGGCCATACACCATGCACATGTGACTTCAACTTCCAACTCACACTCACATCGCCATCAATCTAACAGTAAAGGCAAGTAGTCCCTGGAGTTGAATGAGTCCAACAAGTCCACAGCTCACACTAATAAGCTTGATGGAACATTACATACTTTTGAAAGAAAACAAGTCTTCCAGGCCTTCACAAGTCTCGAGACTCTGACACTAGGGCTGTGTCTAACCCTGTGATCATCAGTAATTCTGTCCAGTCACCCTCTCGCCTCTCATCCAGCAGATACTTCTGTCACGAGACAAATGCACACATAACACTGTGCATCCTCCTGCTGGCGACAGACTACACGCAGGTCTTCCACGGAGGAGTCTGGTGATTATACCAGCATCACACCTGTCAACTCCGTAGCTCCATGAAATAATGATTTATTAAAAATCTGCTCCAGAAGAGTTAAAGGATGTTTCTGGTCTGTATCAAAGGAGTTCCTTCCTGTCAGAGAGACACTATGTCTTACTTCACTTTTCTTTACCTAAAAACAGTGAACTGTTTTACTGTGTCAAATTAACTTGTTTTTCTATGTGCCAAACATACATGTAATTACAAAGACAGCCTGGCAACATCCAGTCATCTCAGAGTTAAATCAGCTTGTGTTTGATGGTCTGAACTTATACATGTAAAAAAAGTTTCACAATATATTATAATTATGTTTGTTCCTTGCTTAGTCAGCAATTTCATGCCTTTCCTCAATTCCTTTATACAGATAAAGAACGGCAGTTTCCTTTGTACAGGTAAAGAACTGCAGTTTCCTTCGTACAGGTAAAGAACTGCAGTCTCCTTCATACAGGTAAAGAACTGCAGTTTCCTTCATACAGGTAAAGAACTGCAGTTTCCTTCATACAGGTAAAGAACGGCAGTTTCCTTCATACAGATAAAGAACGGCAGTTTCCTTTGTACAGGTAAAGAACTGCAGTTTCCTTCATACAGGTAAAGAACTGCAGTTTCCTTCATACAGGTAAAGAACTGCAGTTTCCTTCATACAGGTAAAGAACTGCAGTTTCCTTCATACAGGTAAAGAACTGCAGTTTCCTTTATACTTGTAAAGAACTGCAGATTCCTTTATACAGGTAAAAAACTGCAGATTCCTTTATACAGGTAAAGAACTGCAGATTCCTTCGTACAGGTAAAGAACTGTAGATTCCTTCATACAGGTAAAGAACTGCAGATTCCTTCGTACAGGTAAAGAACTGCAGTTTCCTTCATACAGGTAAAGAACTGCAGTTTCCTTCATACAGGTAAAGAACAGCAGATTCCTTTATACAGGTAAAGAACTGCAGTTTCCTACATACAGATAAAGAACTGCAGTTTCCTTTATACAGGTAAAGAATTGCAGTTTCCTTTATACAGATAAAGAACTGCAGTTTCCTTCATACAGGTAAAGAACAGCAGATTCCTTTGTACAGGTAAAGAACTGCAGTTTCCTTTGTACAGGTAAAGAACTGCAGTTTCCTTCATACAGGTAAAGAACAGCAGTTTCCTTCATACAGGTAAAGAACGGCAGTTTCCTTCATACAGGTAAAGAACTGCAGTTTCCTTCATACAGGTAAAGAACTGCAGTTTCCTTCATACAGGTAAAGAACTGCAGTTTCCTTCACAGAGGTAATAAAAAAGGACAGTTTACACTTGGTAAAAAACAGAGTCCCCTTTTGCTCTTCCTTGTTTGCCATTCAGCTTCAGTGAACATCACCAGTTTTTATCAAACACAGAAATTATAACAGCTTTAGACATGAAAGCATGGCTCCTTATTAGAAAGATGGTCACTAGACCTAGATGATCAGATAAAGAATAACTTTGAAGATTGATACTGACAAGAGCTGTTGGAATGCCACACTTGATTAGTGATTTGCCTGCTTCCGGGGCAGAATATTGGTGATAGGCTGCCTGCACTCCATGCTTGTTATGAGGTGACAAAGATGAGGACGGGTTTTCTCAATGTGTGACCTGGCTTATTGTGTGGCATCATAATCATATGGTGGAAATAACTGTTCATGCTATCAACCACTGGTTTGCCAGGCACAGTCTGGATTATTTACTGGCCATGATATACCTTGAACAGGGCTGGCATAAAACAACATGCACTCAGTGATTGATTAAGTGACTGTTAAATATAAAGAATAATCCTAATCATTTGTAGAACATTTGATTGCCCTTGACAAAACTCCATACTTTGACATGTTGTAGGGAGTCTTGAAAACTATTTATTTTATGGAAAGTTGTCATAGCGACTGATTTGGGACAGAATTGAATGTAAGAACATTTAATTCCAAAGGCTAATTACCCTGTAGTCATGACATGTATTTGCCTTGAATCACTTAACTGCCGTTATTCATAAGATGCTAATCCCAGTTGTTAATCCCCGTTGTACTGTACATTGACTGCCAGCCATCCTTTGTTGTTTGTTTGTTTGTTGTTAAACGCCGCACTCATCAATATTCCAGCTATATGGCGGCGGTCTGTAAATAATCGAGTCTGGACCAGACAATCCAGTGATTGATATCATGAGCATCGATCCACGCAATTGGGATATGATGACATGTATCAACCAATTCAGCGAGTCTGACCACCCGATCCCGTCAGTCGCCTCTTACGACAAGCATAGTCGCCTTTTAGGGCATTAGCATGTCAGCCATCCTAAACGAGCTGTGCAGCTATGTCACTGATTAATTACTGTTGTTTCTATTTATGACTTAATCCATGTCAGGTGACCTTGGCTATATAATCAGAGTGAGAAGGTCTCACCCTCAGCCTAGCTAGGGTCAGGCTTGGTGCTCGGGGTCACCAAGACAACCACTACCACTATGTGTTGACCTTGCACAGAGTGCTTCTTGTATGAATCTACCTTTGTATATACTGCAAGCACTCGACTAGATGTTGTCACTTCCTACCGAGAGCCATACGCCGACCCAGTGCATATACGAGTATGTAAATAACATTAATCAACATCACACCAACAATTGTCAGATAATCAAAACAACTGTATAGTGTTGTAGGGGTGTCACGATAAATTGAAATATCGATATATTGCTATTGGTAAGCACTTAAAGTAAAAAAAATCGATTGTTAAATTAGTTTCCGATCAATAGTATCGATTTCAGTTAGGAATATTGATAGTTTCGATTGTATTTACTGTATTAATAAAATACATGCAATTTTCAAATTTGTGTTTCTTTTGACCATTCATCATGTTCATGAGTGGTAGTAATTTACACATGGTAATTAATGTGGGAGTTTCTTTTTCTTAAATTATCAGGGCAAAGAAAAAACAAATCAGTCATATCTCAAACTTTACTTTTTATTTGTTGTTATGGTTATCACATTCAAAGGAAACTTCAGTTGCAAGGCTTAATTCAACTCTAAAATCCATCTTAAATGAACCACTGAATACTATCGATATTTATCGCAATAGTTGCATGCAATATCAATAGTTATCGCAATAGTGATTTCCAGACCAATAGACACCCCATACTGTTGAGAACCTTGTAAACAGTATAGTTTGGTGAATCTCATACACATGATAAAAGAAACATCATTTCTACACATACAGTTTACAACAACACATTTCCTGATGAAATATTCCAACAAAACCTAAGTTAAACATGAAAACCGTGTATAACAAGAGCACCTTTCAAAGCCTGGTCACAGAACACACGCTGACACGTCCAGCTAATCTTGCAGGCCTAATTACAAGAAGGGAAATCTGTCTGGCTTCACAGATTGGGAAACAAACCTGTTCCGAGGTATAGCATTATTGGCTGATCAATACATCACGAGCACCTCATCTCTCCTACAGATTGTCTGCAGCACTGGCACGATATAGTCGCCTCGTTCGGTCATCACTCATTTGCCCAGGCTTCGGTTTTGATTGATGCTCCACTGTTTTAAATGGGGACTGGGCTCAAACCAGTAAACAGTCCTAGAAGATTTGATTCAAGTCATTAAAACCCTACGTTGTTTGTCGGCTAACGCAGAACCTATGATGACTATCAATCTGGCTGTTGATGGTCACACTGACTTACAGATACCATGTCTCCTGTGGACTCATGACTACATCAAGAACATACATCAATCATGGGCACCTGGTCCTACTTCCACGAAATGATCTACATGATCTAAGCGCTATGATTGTCGTGACTCCCATACATTAACATGAACATTCAACAATCTTAGCACTACGATAGTCGTTACTCCCATACATTAACATGAACATACAACAGTCTTAGCGCTACGATTGTCGTTACTCCCATACATTAACATGAACATACAACAGTCTTAGCGCTATGATAGTCGTAACTCCCATACATTAACATGAACATTCAACAATCTTAGCGCTACGATAGTCATAACTCCCACACATTAACATGAACATACAACAGTCTTAGCGCTATGATTGTCGTAACTCCCATACATTAACATGAACTTACGACAGTCTTAGCGCTACGATAGTCGTAACTCCCAT